CACAAACCTGAAGCAAGATCGGATTTTTACCGGAGGAATGCGAAGAAGAAGACTTACCCAGAATCAGAAAAGACCAGAAAAGACGTGGGCTTAAGCCAATTTCCGAGCTTGGGATTCACGACATGAACAGTGAAAAGACAAAAGAAACTAGAAGAACACGAGAATTAATGTTAAAAAGGAAGAAAGTCAAGGAGCGTAGTATGAATAAAGCAGGAAAGAGGGATTCAACAAACAAACATATAAACCGGATTGGACCACTAAATTGGCATCCTCCATAGCCAAAACGAAACAAGGAACTTGATAAAAAAACAAAACCAAGAAAAGTCAAAACTTTCTCTTTTTAATCTCAAAAGTTTAAAAAAAATAGAATCACAAGTTGGTCAAATCTTCCCTTATTACCACGACATTGACTCATCTTTGTGTGTCTTTTTAAATTCCGTGGAAGTAAAAAAACTCAAAATCTTTTTATAACACAAGAAACCAAAATTGCGCAAAGGTTTGGACTTTTCAAAAGGATTAAAATTAGTCTCAACTCTCAAGGAATGTGAAGGAAGATATATCTATTCTAAGAAATGATTAAAAGTTTTATCAACTTAGAATTGAAAAAAATGACACTTATTTGCCAAATTGCATGATTATTGGTTCGTTCAATCATACCACAACAGTTGTGAACAAAAAGCTTATGCAATATATTAGTGTCTGTTAGGACATCTGAATGATCTGATCCAGTTCTAATATTATGTGTGTTTGGAGTTGTCCGATTCATCAAGTTTTAATGTTTGAATGTTTTCACGGGTTTTAGAAAATATATAATAAAATAAATACGTTACAAATATAATTAGAAAAACGAAAAAAATACCATTAATCTAATTAAACTAGATTTTTAGCATTTTATGATTATTCCGTAAATTGTCTATCCAATTTAGTTCAATTGTTTGACTATTTCGTTATTACACTATTCAGTCGAGCAAATATATAATAAAATTTACATAAGTTTCTGTTTGTTTTTTTTCGGTTTAGTTCAGTGGCACTTAATCCGATCTTGGTTTGATTTGTTCATGAATAAATCCCGGTTAAATCCTGCTTCCGTACAAGAAACTGGGTCGATTCGGGTCGGGTTCGGATGGAGTGGCCCAATTACAATGTGTCATTAGTCTGTGGCTCAAATTTCTTAAAAATCCTTCAAAAACCAAAGAAGTCCCAAGAGTCAGTGCCATGGCCATGGCTTCTGCTATGGACTTATCTTCTCCAACGTTCTTCTTATCGAGAACTTCTTCTTCTCTCCGTCGTCTCTCCCCCATCTCCGTCTCTAGCTTCCGCCGTCACTCTAGCCGAAGATTACATGTATGTTGCCAGGCCACAGCCGGAACTCAGCCTCAGAGTGGTCTCTCTGACTCTGACTCCAAATTAGCCGCTCGTTCTGGACAGGACCGTCTTTTGAAGGTCCGATTCCGTAATTTCTGTCTCTCATTCATCTATGTGCGGAGAGGATTCGGATATTTGAAATTGGATATTTTTCTCGGAATTTGCAGGTTCCGATATCGAACATCAGGAATTTTAGTATTATAGCTCATATTGATCATGGGAAATCGACGTTAGCGGATAAGTTGCTTCAGGTGACTGGTACTGTGCATAACAGAGATATGAAGGAACAGTTTCTTGATAACATGGATTTAGAAAGAGAACGAGGCATCACAATCAAGCTTCAGGTTCCTA